TGGTTAAGATCCCAAGAGGACAAATAAATAAACTCATTTTCACATTTATAATATTAAGGATATAGTATTAAGTCCTACACTACGTCTGCCTGTACGCGGTCGCCACTCGAGAACTTTTATTTACAGAAACAGAACTTTTCTTAGTTCATCATGTGACAGAGTTCTTCGAGCTATGTGACCAGCCCATTGCCACTTCAGCTTGCTTATCCTTCGATTTTTTTTAAATAACAGTCAATAATTATTATTTGCAGGTTATGGGGTCATATGTTATTATTCACAGTAATAAAGTTGTTTTCAATTTATGTTCCGCCTTAATTTAAAAAAACTGTATTATTAGAAAGCGCATTTTAATTTCTGTAATCATGTATTTGGCAATAGAGTTCCCGTTTTCTATAGGACAGGGTCAGCCTAGCGCAGAAATTAGTGGCAAACTTTGTGCTTATACATACATAGATGATAAGGGGAAAGGGATTGTTAGTAATGGAAACTGAGAATCCCATTGCTAGCAATATATCCAACCAGGTCGACCTCCTCGCGGTTCTCCCTGGAAACTATCATGGTTAATTCCTGATGAATTCATCATGATGGGCTAACTGGCCTGTTTTTATTCTCATCTATCACCCTTTACTGGTGCTTTGCCAGCGTATTCCGTTAGCGCAGGCGGGGTTACCATACCATTTTCACCCACCAAAAAAAAAAAACATACATGATAATAAATACATTTTACTTTTTTTTTTAAATTATAAAACTAATAATAAATAAAGTTTGAATTAAAAATTTGTTTGATTACACCTTTGTCCTCAGGAATGGCAACGCGTGACGAGTATCATAGGCGACAAAGTATACTGTGTTATATCCATGGTATTATTCAGGTCTGTAGGTAACAGTTACCATTTTCTGTCAGGTGGGTCGTCAGCATGTTTGCGATTCAAACTTGCATAAAAAAAACTATCGAAGCTAGCAAGGAACTTTTACTGACCGACAATGAGTTTCTATATCTGTTTAAGGAAAAATATTAAGGCTAACATTTGAATTTTACCAGAGGCAGACTTTGTACAAAAGTCGTTTGTTTGGACACCTCTGTCCCATTCGTGTTTCAACCGTGAAGCAGTTGTATTTGCATGGCTGTGTTTCGGTTTCAAGGGTGGGATATGGCAGTGACTTTACAGGGTACAAAGAAATAACACCTGAGTCCTCAGGAATGGCAACGCATGGGGGGTATCATGGGCTAAACGGAATACTCTGTTATGTCCTAGTACTGCTCATGTGTACAGGCAACGGTTACCACTTTCCATCAGGTGGGCCGTCAGCTTGTTTGCCATTCTAAGTTGCATAAAATAAAAGAATCTTAGACTGTACTAAGAGGGAGTTCTCAGATATATTGGTAGACAAATTAAAAAAAAAAAAAAAAAAAAAAATATATATATATATATATATATATATATATATATATATATATATATATATATATATATATATATATATATTATATATCGATTCGACGTTTCTACGAATTTATTTGTGATAAATTTAATCTTCAATTAAACATTATATTATTATAAGCGTTGACTTTTGAATGGAGAAGTTCTGAAGATAAATAAAGGAAAAAAAATAAATAAATATTGTGTAACGATAAGTGTACTTACGAAATAATTTGTTTTGTATTGTTTGTTTGTGAATGAGCACGTGTAACGTTTAGTGCGAATTCTTAGAATACTGTACTGTAGTGTATTTATGTCTCTGGTTCAATAAATAACCTGAGGCCCCGTTAGACGAGAAGTGGTAATCATTCCCTATATGAGTGCACTAGTCGTTCACGGCAGCCGCGTCCCTCTTAAAGTATCTCATCTTGCTTGGCCACCTATGTCCCATTCGTTTTTCTACCGTGAAGCAATTGTGTTTGCATGGCTGTGTTTCGGTTTGTAGGGCATGACAGTGAATTTACAGAGTACAGAGACTTAACACCTGAGTCCTCAGGAATGACAACGCACGAGGGGTATCACGGGCGAAACAGTATAGTCTGTTATGTCCATGGTACTGCTCATGTCTATAGGTGACGGTTACCACTTTCCATCAGGTGGACCGTCAGCTTGTTTGCCATTCTAAGTTGTATAAAAAAAAATGTACAGACGACGTTTAGTTACGATTTTATTATATTAGTAATATTAATAGGTATATAATATAAATGTATTTTGTTTTATCATATTTAGTAATGAAGATGAATGTATTTTTTTATTTTTTGGTAATAATTTTTAGGTAAATAGTTAAATTTGTATGACGTATGACAGATAACAATATTTTCCGTTTTTATTTTTACCGAATAATTCTTGAGAAATTAAAAAAAAAAAAAACACCTAAACAGGAGAAGGACATAAACTATTTTTTATCTCATTTAGTAAACATATCCCGGTCACGTGGATGGAGTTGCGAGTAAAAGCTAGTATTGTGTAAGTAAAGAACAAACACGGTATTTTCCTCCTAAACATATGGGCCGGACTGAAAAAAATAACGGACACAATCCACTTTAAATAAATCAGGGCCGTATTTATTTCTCGACAGAACAACCCTTATACTGTAATCAGGAACTCCGCAAGATCTGTCCCGCGGAATCCGCAACTCCTAACTCTAATTCTTACGAGAAACGTTATCTAATCTCGGTAAAGCGAAAATAATGGGTCGCGGTCCCAATTTGTAGATTGGCTCGGATCTCGTACGGTACCAACCAAGCCTAATGGCTTATTACTAAAATTTCTTTAGTTTATTCTTATATTTTTGCGTTCAGTAAAATGTTGCCTTATTTCTTTTTCATTAGTGTTCCTACTTCTAAGTAAGTTTTTCGAGTTACCAAAAAAGGGCTAGATTAGTCCATTTTTCTAAAATTTATTTATTTAATAAGATTCGCCTACAACTTTTACATTTTACATGGTACTTAATCAATAACACAACAATAGTTTTGCCCAATGTAAATGTTGGCGACAGACCTCTTTTTATATAATTTACCTTTTTAGAATTATATTTTTATATTATGAATATGTCTTTTTGATACTTATTTTGTTTTTCTACTTTATTGACATATTGTTGTTATATTGTGTACGTCTAAGAAAATATACTGGTAAGCCTCTCTCTATATTATTATTTTATTATTGTCGCTGCCCTCCTCTCCTACCAGCGCCGTTTTCAGTAAAAGTCTTTTACAGGCGAACACCACATGCACTATTATAATATTTAATAATTATTAACAATGGCAGTATCTGAACAATAAACAGATTAAGAGCTTATGTCTAAAATTTTCCTTAATAAGTTATATTCTGCTGTTAATGGATCCGAAATTGATGTCAATGTGATCGCTGTGAGCATTCAGAATGCTACATAATCTGGGTACGAATTGACTCCCAAAATTGTTTTTCTTAACATTTTTATTTATTTTTATTTTTATACAACTTAGAATGGCAAACAAGCTTATCGTCCACCTGATGGAAAGTGGTAACCGTCGCCTATAGACATGAGCAGTACCATGGAGATAACAGAGTATACTGTTTCGCCCATGATACCCCCATGCGTTGCCATTCCTGAGGACTCAGGTGTTATTCCTCTGTACCCAGTAAATTCACGCCATATCCCACCCTTCAAACCGAAACACAGCCATGCAAACACAACTGCTTCACGGTAGAAACACGAATGGGACAGAGGTACCCAAGCAATCGACTTTTGTACAAAGTCTCCCTCTGGACATAAAGGTTATTTTCGAGGTATTATAGAGGGAACACGAAAGTTAAACAATTGAAGCATTTGTGGACAATCTATTATTTGCGTTAGTATTTTAAAACCAAATAAAATGTCAATAAAATAAAAAATATTCAGTATATAATGTGCTTTTTTTTTAATGTACGGTAATGGAATGGTAATCTTACCGGTACACGCTGGCGTGGCACCTGTGAGAGACCTTAGAAAACATCTGGAATTAAGCATGATGATTTCCAGTAGGGACCACGTGGAGGTCGACCTGACAGGGTAAACTGTTAATAATGAGACTGGTAGTCTACATTACTAACAATTGCTTTTCCCCAGTATAACGTATTAGGTACTGTCACACTAGCAATTCAGTCACAAAAACGAGATAAGAAGATAGTTAACACTAGTGGGCGTGTCTTGTACACGTGTGCGTGTGACAGATCTGAATTTATATGGAATTGAAGTCGTAACAATGGAAAAAAATCACATATTTGTTATAATTTTAATTTCAATTCGTGGACGTTCAGAGCTTATATGAGTACGATATGAGTTCAGAGTTTATGTATATAAAAAAAAAAAAAAACTTTTATACAAAAAGATCAAAAAATAATGAAAAAAGCAGAAAAAACCTTTAGTTATAGTGATAGTAAAACTACACTATCTTTGAAAGTGTTTCTCAGGTTTTCTGTCTTTTTTTTAAATGAAAACAATTTCCTTTTTTGTTCTTACGGAATTTAATTTAGTGCTAGATTCGGAGATAGAGGCCAAATGAATACAAAAAAGGCTGGATGAGGGGAAAAAGGGCTAGTCCTAGGTCTCGAAAGAGCTACGTTGACGACATTGCTTTTATATGGAAAATGTAATTTAAGAAAGTAGGATAATGTTTATCGGGTAGGTAAGTACATTTGAATCTTTTGCGCGACATGTATGTAGTAATAATAAGCTATCTGTTAGGTTTTTAAAAGTAGCATATTTTCGGATGGGGTGATATTAGACTTAGGCAGTAGGATAAATTAGAAAAAAATATTTTGAAATCCAAAAATTTAAACTAAAACCGTTATTGTAGAAAATAAACCAACCCGCTTGCCAAGCGTGGAGATTTATGAGCATAAACTCTCCAATGAAAAGGAGCAATAATTTGTGGTTCCCGATCCGAAAAGTAGAGGATTGCGCGTGTTGGAAGGTATTGGGAGAGGCCTATACCTAGCAGTGGATAGATACAGGCTGAAATGATGATGATGATGATGAGAGAAAATAAAAAAAAATAGTACAGAAATTGTCATTCTTATTCAGTAATCAGTACATAACATTATATATAGGAAATTAATAGTTCAGTTAATTTTAAGATACAAAATTAGAATGGAGAAACATATGGTACTTCCACAATTGGTTTTCCGCCTTCTATCAACCAAGCAGTTCCGCTGTCCGCCCGTTCGTATATCTCAGCTGCGGCCTTTCCGACAGATTCAGGCTTCTGCCAAAGATTCCCTTTCAAGAATGCCTCCCAATCACGTTGCACCACTTGTTCGTCGCTGGCTTTAACCTCAGTCGTTAACTTCGTTACAGTAAAGCCTGGACAGATTGCCACTACTCGAACACCAGATCTCTCGTAGTTATATTTATGTCCCAAAGATCTTGTGAAACCCATCACAGCAAACTTCGAAGCCTGATACACTGGAAGGAACTGGTCAACTCTAAAACCGTAGATCGAAGCTAAATTAATTATAGTGCCACCTTTTCCTCCTTTATCTTTCCTCATATGCTCCCAAAACTTGTTAGACCATTCAATCAGAGCGAGAACGTTGATGTAAATGGTCTTTTTTACAGCAAAATCATCGAGTATACCGGCGTTGTTTACTAGAACATCAACAGTTTTGTACGTGTCGAAAAGTTTCTTCGAAATAGTTTCCAAATCTGCGATAACATCACATTTGAAGAAAGCCGCTTTGCCATCTCCGTATTTGGAGTTGAGCGAGCGTGCAGCATCAGCGCCTAGTTTCTCGTTTATATCTAAAATGACAACAGTCTTCGCGCCTTTCTCGAGGAATACCTCGGCCATTATTAGACCCAAACCTTCTGCAGCACCAGTGATCACAATAACTTTGTTTTTTAACTCTCTAGCCATATTGTACGTGTTCAATATACTTCAAGCGATCGATTAATAATTGAAGTTTTTCAATCCACTATTTATATATATGTATTACAATTGATTCTTTATCATGAATGACCTATGACTGTTCAAGTAGTTAAATATGGGAGTTGCTTCTAATAAATAACGTTTAAAATAGCTTGACTATCTTGAATTATTGACATTAATGGAATAGTATTTACATCGCTAGTGTTTGCATTGTTATCATGTAACTGATATGAAATTAAAAACAACAAACAGTCATCCTAGCTAACGTTCGTGCTATCACACACGTGTACTTCCCAAAAAAACTTGTTTATTTGCAGAAATACTTATATATACCAACTTTGTTTGTGTATTTTTAACTGATTTATAAAAAAGTCTAGTAGGTTCTTAATTCGGTTTTTTTTTGGTGGATGAAAATGGTATGGTAACCCCGCCTGCGCTAACGGGATACGCTGGCGGAGCACCAGTGAAGGGTGATCGATGAGAATGAAAACAGGCCAGTTAGCCCATCATGATGAATTCATCAGGAATTAACCATGATAGTTTCCAGGGGGAACCACGAGGGGGTCGACCTGGTTGGGAATATTGCTAGAAATGGGATTTTCAGTCTCCATTACTAACAATCCTTTTCGCCCCTCTTAATTCGGTTGAATTTGTTTATGTTTCTTAACTTAGAACTACAGTACTTATAAACTGATTTGGAAAATTATTATATATATCTTTATTTGAAAGATTGTACTTTCACGATGCAGGTATTGGAGGAGACTTAGACAATCTTATTATGATCAGAGAGACGGTATGTATTCTGAAGAAGTCCAGAGTTTCCAGAACTGGTGTGTTTGCACGAAATGAGTTTGGAAAGCCCAGGAAGAAAGATATGTATGTGAGCATAAAGGTGTTTGGTACTTAGTTCTCTCTACCTACCCCGCAGGGAATTTACCATAGAGATAAATAGATGTACTTTCAGATATGGTCTCAAAGAAATTTCATGAAATTCGGCTCAGTAGTTTGGTTTTAAATTAATATAATTGGTTCATGGTTGTGATTACACTAAAAAATAATTAGAGTTTTATTATTTAAGGAACTTCCGAAAACAGTTCTCAATTTATATTTGCTTTTTTTTACGTTTATATTTTAAACGATACCTTTGGTTACTCTGTACCGATTCTGGATAATTCTATTAAAATTAATTTTGACAAGTCATTGTTGTTTTTTTTTTAAGGAGTGAAATCTATATTGTTTTGAAATAAGAATAATTTATTACGTTGCACCGTCAATTATGTTTTCTGTTATTCCTGTCTGCAGTCGACTGGCTGATAACGCCAGATGGTGTTAAGTCCGCCATTTATATTATACTATCTAGGTGTATTAAAGTACAATAAATAAATAAATAGTCAAGTTTATATTAATTCAATTAGTGTGATGTGGAACAATGAGTGGGTAGAAGGAAATACTTCTGCCTTGGAAACGGAGGTATGACAACGCTAAATTAGTCTACTCGTGACCTCGAAACGTCATCATCATCAAATATAAGCCTTCAACTGTCCACTGCTGAACAGAAGCTTCCCCCTTGAGGGGTTTCGCCAGTAGTTGCCATGCTTGGCAGGCGGATCGGCAACCGCAGTTAGGCTTTGGAGATGTTTTAAGAGGGACTCTGCTGCTCATCCCTCGTCTTCCCTTAGTCGCCTCTTACGACACCCACGTGCAAGGGGTGGCATATTCTATGCCGGGGCCACATGGCGACCTTAACGAGTTTACCGGGGGAAGTGATTGTTAGTAATGGGGGGTTAGTCCCCATCGCTATGAATATACCTCATATCAGGTCGACCTCCACGCTGTTCCCCTTGGAAACTATTGTAACTAATTTATCGTTGAATTCGTCATAATGGGCTAACTGACTTGCCTTTTCATTCTTACCAATCATCTCTCACTGGTGCCCCGCTAGTGTATACCGATAGCGCAGGCGGGGTTACCATTTCATTATCATCCATAAAAAAATCGAGTTTATCTAAATCGTGTTAATTCTGATCTCTTTAAAAACAGTAATATTTACTTTTTAGTATGGTTACTTTTCATTCCAATATCAGGGTAAGAACAGGTAAACTGGTTATAAAACATACGTACGTTTACCAGAGGGAGACTTTGTACAAAAGTCGATTTCTTGGGTACCTCTGTCTCATTCGTGTTTCTACCGTGAAGCAGTTGTGTTTGCATGGCTGCGTTTCGGTTTGAAGGGTGGGATATGGCGTGAATTTACAGGGTACAGAGGAATAACACCTGAGTCCTCAGGAATGGCAACGCATGGGGGGTATCATGTGCGATACAGTATATTCTATCATGTCCATGGTATTGCTCATGTCTATAGACGACGGTTGCCACTTTCCATCAGGTGGGCCGTCTGCCATTCTAAGTTGTATAAAAAAAAATATAAAAACATACGTAGTCAGCCACCTGGTGGACATGGTAATGGATAGGCCATTATCCTTCTTTTATTGTAAGGGACCCTTGCTCAATAGTGCATGATAATGTTATTTTTCAAAATGTGCATCCAGTTTATTACATTCCATGTTCTGAGGGCTTACCATGAAATGTTTTCCGAAATTTCGGGACCGAACGAAGCACAAATTTGATGTTAAAATTACATAATACATGCCGTTTGGAAATATTAAAAATGTTAAAATGTTGTTCCTTTGGACTTTTATGATAGGATGTATGACGAACGAAATGTTAAATTCCATTTATTGATCCGATTTTGGTATAAGCAAAAACACGAAATTGAGTCTGAAATTTCGGAATTTCATTTCATGGTAGACCCGCTGTTTTAGATTTTTATAATGTGAATGGCTTTGGAAAACATTATTTATTTTTTCTATGTATTTAGCAGACTTCGAAAAGGCGGTTTTCAATTTAGTTGTGTGCCTTTTATGCTTGTTACCTCATAAACTGAGTTGTGGCCATTTTGTGTTACTATGGCACACGCATGGAAGAAGTAAATTGTTGTATATTTCGCTTTTTGATTGTTCTTTTGTTTTTCTTTCTTTTATTGTGCTTGTATTCTGTATTATGTGTATGTTTGTATTGTTATTTGTGTGCTGTAAGAAATGAATTATCCATCTATCTCATAATTCAGCCAGTTGTAAAGTGATTTAGAGAATTCTTTTTTTTTTATCAAAATCGTAGAAATTCTATCAAAATTGCTCGAGTAGTTTAGTTTTTAAATCAAAATGACTGGTTTTGTCACAATTAAAGTCGGTTTTGTTTAGTGGGGCACAATCTTAATTATAAATGTTTTAAATATTCAAATTTGATAGTACAATACGCAATTTGGGGGGAAGGGATTGTTAGTCATGCGGACTACAAATGTCATTGCTAGCAATATACCCTGTCAGGTCGACCTCCACGTGGTTCCCCCTGAAAACCATCGTGAATAATTCTTGTTCAATTCGTCACGATGGGCTAACTGACCTGCTTCATCCTCACCTATCAACCTTCACTGGTGCCCCGCCACGGTATGGCCATGGTAACCCCCCCCGCGCTATCGGTATACACCGATAGCGCGGGTGGGGTTACCATTTCATTATCAGCCATAAAAAAAAATACGCAATCTTATACATAAAATTTACCACAGACTATTTATTAAATTATTTCTTAAATTTATCTGGACTATTTATAATTGTGTCATATAATTGATATTTGAAGAATGACAACTCTCAGATAAGATAGAAAGTACGTGGGCATTAAGAACAAGGAATTACATAGAAGGAGTGATAAAATTATCAAATTATAGCAGGCTAGCGTATAGAAAATGTTATACGGTCATGTAACCCTACCAAGTTCAGATACAGGTTGTATACTTGCATACTTTCTACATAAACTGTGTCGAATATATAATCTAGTAATGTAAAATATGTCATTGATAAATAATTGACATATCAAACATTTTCTATACACTAGCCTACTATGAATGAGAACAATAGCAACTGATAGTATATGTTTTGTCCTCTTTTTACTAATTATATTTGCATAAGAAGAAAGAAGGCAACCATATGATTTACAGTTTTTATTTTATCATTCCTTCTATGTAATTCCTTGTTCTTAGCATGGGACCGCTCCAACTATGAAAATGTTTGGATGAATAATTTGTCATTTATTAAATTCTGGTAATCATTTAATAATTTATTAAATTCCGTTTATGAAAATTAGCTGAGATATGGATAGTAAGTACTCTTTGTTATACCTTCAGATGTTAGTTGTCTTGGTGATTGTATGTTACTAATTTATTATTAGTTTTATTATAATATTTGAAATTCATAATCGGGACTTAAGGTAAGGTAACAATACTAAATTGGACACGAACTAGATGGCGCTAGTATCGAGCCTTGTGGTTTTTGTTGATTATTTTGTAATTAAAAATAATTTGAAGGAAAATTTTTAAATTGGCGAGTGATTATCTTCATATATTATTTATTTATTATTATAATGCGTACATAATATAAAGTTGAATGTACAATGTTCTTATGATAAGTACATGAAGCCCTCTTTGGGTGCAGCAAAATTATATTGATAGGTAGCTAATATACATACATTAATGTCAATTTAGAATAAACAAAATCAACAACAATTTAAAATATCATAAAAATAATTTGAAGTCAGTCTAGTTATTTAGGTATATAATAGTTTATCAATGTGTGTGTGTGAGTGAGTGTGTTGGACCCTATGATTTAGATTCAATTTATCGTATTTCAGTAGCCCAATCTTTCAATTTGTATACGTTATTTTGTATTATAACATATACGTATAAAAATTAATTATAATAACTTGATAACCCTCTTGGAAGTCAATTACTAATTTGGTGCTGAATAGTTTTACTAAAAAAATTTAAATTTTAAATGTAATTGTGAGACCACAGATAAGAGGGCATGAGAACATCACGCGGCGGTGTCACGTGACAGGCGCATGAGCTCATATGTTATATCATTGGGAGCAGTTTGCGTCTGAATAGTCAACCCCGCATACATCCTGAGATTCATCTATGGATTTTTTTTACAACACAGGGGGCAAACGAGCGTACAGCTCATCTGATGGTAAGTGACTACCGCCGCCC